TAGTCTGTGTGTGTGTGTGTAGTAGTCTGTCTGTGTGTGTGTGGTAGTTTGTGTGTGTGTGTGGTAGTAGTCTGTGTGTGTGTGTGGTAGTAGTCTGTGTGTGTGTGGTAGTAGGCTGTGTGTGTGTGGTAGTAGTCTGTGTGTGTGTGGTAGTAGTCTGTGTGTGTGTGGTAGTAGTCTGTGTGTGTGTGGTAGTAGTCTGTGTGTGTGTGTGGTAGTAGTCTGTGTGTGTGTGTGAGCTTTGTCTGTGTGGTAGACATGGCGACTATCCCTGACGTTACATTATCATCACCATCACCATCATAACCATCACCATCATAACCATCACCATCAACATCACCATCATAACCATCACCATCAACATCACCATCATAACCATCACCATCATAACCATCACCATCACCATCATAACCATCACCATTACCATCATAAACATCACCGTCACCATCATAACCATCAACATCACCATCATAACCATCAACATCACCATCATAACCATCACCATTACCATCATAACCATCACCATCATAACCATCATCATCACCATTATAACCATCTTCATCACCATCATCATCACCATGACTCACATCATCATCATCATCACCATCATCACCATTATTATCCCCATCATCATCACCATCATCACCACCATCACCACCACCATCACCACCATCATCACCACCATCATCATCATCACCACCATCACCATCATCACCACCATCACCACCATCATCACCACCATCACCATCATCATCACCACCATCACAATCATCACCATCACCATCATCACCATCATCATCACCACCATCACCACCATCATCATCATTACAATCATCACCACCATCACCACCACCATCATCACCATCATCATCATCACCAACATCACCATCATCACCACCATCATCACCATCATCACCACCATCACCACCATCACCACCATCATCATCACCATCATCACCACCATCACACCATCATCAAAATCATCATCACCATCAACATCATCATCATCACCATCATCATCACCACCATCACCACCATCATCATCACCATCATCACCACCATCACCACCACCATCATCACCATCATCATCATCACCACCATCACCATCATCACCACCATCACCACCATCATCACCACCATCATCATCATCACCACCATCACCATCATCACCACCATCATCACCACCATCATCACCACCATTACCACCATCATCATCACCATCATCACCACCATCACACCATCATCAATATTATCATCACCATCAACATCATCATCATCAATATCATCATCACCACCATCACCACCATCATCACCACCATCACCACCACCATCACCACCATCATCACCATCATCACCACCATCACACCATCATCACCATCATCATCACCACCATCATCACCACCATCACCACCACCATCACCACCATCACCACCATCATCATCACCATCATCACCACCATCACACCATCATCACCATCATCTTCACCATCAACATCATCAATATCATCACCATCAACATCATTATCATCAATATCATCATCAATATCATCATCACCATCATCACCACCATCACACCATCATCACCATCATCTTCACCATCAACATCATCATCATCAATATCATCATCACCATCAACATCATCATCAATATCATCATCATCATCATCAATATCATCATCACCATCATCACCACCATCACACCATCATCAATATCATCATCATGACACTCATCGTTACAGTTTCATCATCATTGTAATGGGTACATCATCAACATCATCATAGATACATCATCATCGTCATAGATACATCATCATCGTCATGGTTACATCATCATCGTCACGGTTACATCATCATCGTCATGGTTACATCATCATCATCGTCATGGTTACATCATCATCATCGTCATGGTTACATCATCATCGTTATGGTTACATCATCATCATCATCGTCATAGATACATTATCGTCATGGTTACATCATCATGGTCATGGTTACATCATCATCGTCATGGTTACATCATCATCGTGGTTACATCATCGTCATGGTTACATCATCATCATCGTCATGGTTACATCATCATCGTCATGGTTACATCATCATCGTCATGGTTACATCATCATCATCGTCATAGATACATCATCATCGTCATGGTTACATCATCATCGTCATGGTTACATCATCATCGTCATAGTTACATCATCATCGTCATCACCACCATGACACTCATCATTACAGTATTATCATCATCATGATCACGAATATCACGACAATCATCATCATCAACAACATCACGATCATCATCTACATGATCACGATCATCATGGCTATCATCATGATCACGATCATCATTACAGTATAATAGTCATCATCATCACGATCTTCATTACATGTTAAATAATAATCATCACGATCATCAACATCATCATCTACATCATCACGATCATCATCATGATCACGATCATCATCTACATTATCACGATGATCATGATCACGATCATCGTTACAGTATACTAATAATCATCACGATCATCATCATCTACATTATCACGATCATCATCTACATTATCACGATGATCATATACACGATCATCGTTACAGTTTACTAATCTTCATCACGATCATCATCTACATCATCACGATCATCATCATCTACATTATCACGATCATCATCTACATTATCACGATGATCATCTACATTATCACAATGATCATATACACGATCATCGTTACAGTATACTCATCATCATCACGATCATCATCATCTACATCATCACGATCATCATCATGATCGCGATCATCATCTACATTATCACGATGATCATGATCACCGTTAAAGTATACTAATCATCACGATCATCATCATCTACATCATCACGATCATCATCATGATCCCGATCATCATCATCATTTACATTATCACGATGATCATGATCACGATCACCATGATGACCGTTATAATGATGTTGTTGATGATATTGATTATAATGATGTTGATGAAGATATTGATTATGATGATATTGATTATGATGATGAAGATGATATTGATTATGATTATGTTGATGAAGATGATATTGATTATGATGATGGTGATGTTGATGATATTGATTATGATGATGTTGATGAAGATGATATTGATTATGATGGTGATGAAGATGATATTGATTATGATGATGATGGTGATGTTGATGATATTGATTATGATGATGTTGATGAAGATGATATTGGTTATGATGGTGATGAAGATGTTATTGATTATGGGTAAAACCTATTCCTAGATGATGATGTTGATTATTTTGATTATAATGATGTTGATGAAGATGATATTTATTATGATGATGATGAAGATGATATTGATTATGATGATGATGTTGATGATATTGATTATGATGTTGATGAAGATAATATTGATTATGATGATGGTGATGTTGATGATATTGATTATGATGATGTTGATGAAGATGATATTGATTATGATGATGATGGTGATGTTGATTATATTGATTATGATGATGAAGATGATATTGATTATGATGATGTTGATGAAGATGATATTGATTATGATGATGTTGATGAAGATGATTTTGATTATTTTGATGAAGATGATATTGATTATGATGATGTTGATGAAGATGATTTTGATTATGTTGATGATATTGATTATGATGATGTTGATGAAGATGATTTTGATTATGTTGATGAAGATGATATTGATTATGATGATGTTGATGAAGATTATTTTGATTATGTTGATGAAGATGATATTGATTATGATGATGTTGATGAAGATGATTTTGATTATGTTGATGAAGATGATATTGATTATGATGATGTTGATGAAGATGATTTTGATTTTGTTGATGAAGATGATATTGATTATGATGATGTTGATGAAGATGATTTTGATTATGTTGATGAAGATGATATTGATTATGATGATGTTGATGAAGATGATTTTGATTATGTTGATGAAGATGATATTGATTATGATGATGTTGATGAAGATGATTTTGATTATGTTGATGAAGATGATATTGATTATGATGATGTTGATGAAGATGATTTTGCTTATGTTGATATTGATTATGATGATGTTGATGAAGATGATTTTGATTTTGTTGATGAAGATGATATTGATTATGATGATGTTGATGAAGATGATTTTGATTATGTTGATGACGATGATATTGATTACGATGATGTTGATGAAGATGATTTTGATTTTGTTGATGAAGATGATATTGATTATGATGATGTTGATGAAGATGATTTTGATTTTGTTGATGAAGATGATATTGATTATGATGATGTTGATGAAGATGATTTTGATTATGTTGATGAAGATGATATTGATTATGATGATGTTGATGAAGATGATTTGATTATGTTGATGAAGATGATATTGATTATGATGATGTTGATGAAGATGATTTTGATTATGTTGATGAAGATGATATTGATTATGATGATGTTGATGAAGATGATTTTGCTTATGTTGAAGATGATATTGATTATGATGATGTTGATGAAGATGATTTTGATTTTGTTGATGAAGATGATATTGATTATGATGATGTTGATGAAGATGATTTTGATTATGTTGATGAAGATGATATTGATTATGATGATGTTGATGAAGATGATTTGATTATGTTGATGAAGATGATATTGATTATGATGATGTTGATGAAGATGATTTTGATTATGTTGATGAAGATGATATTGATTATGATGATGTTGATGAAGATGATTTTGCTTATGTTGATGAAGATGATATTGATTATGATGATGTTGATGAAGATGATTTTGATTTTGTTGATGAAGATGATATTGATTATGATGATGTTGATGAAGATGATTTTGATTATGTTGATGAAGATGATATTCATTACGATGATGTTGCTGCTATTGATGACGATGCTGCTGCTGATGTTGCTGATGCTGCTGCTGATGTTGCTGATGCTGCTGCTGCTACTGCTGGTGACGTCACCGACTGACTGTGACGTCAGAAGAGGTCCGTGATGGTCGCCGCGGGGCTCCGCGTTGCAGAACTTCCCCCAGAAGCCACCGCGACGGGGCCCTGGGGCCCGCCCACCTCCGCCAGCCCCGCCCCCTGGATACCGCCGAGCCCCACCCCCTGGTTACCACCGCCCCCGGCCCCACGGCTACCGAGCCCCGCCCCATGGTTACCGGACCCCGCCCCCTGGTGACTAGACCCCACCCCCTGGTTACCGAGCCCCGCCCCGTGGCCACCGAGCCCCGCCCCCTGGCCGCCGAGCCCCGCCCCCTGGCCGCCGAGCCCCGCCCCCTGGCTGCCACCGAGGCCCCCCGGGTGGAGCTGCAGGGCCGCGGTGACGCCCCCTAGCAGGGCCGCCATTGGCGGGGCGATCACGTGGGCAGGGGGGGAGCACGTGACGTCACGGCCCCCTGGTTTGGGGCAGCCGCCACCGCTGTTGTTGCTGCTGCTGCTGTTGTTCATGTTGCTGCTGCTGCTGTTGTTGTTGTTGTTGATGTTGTTGATGTTGTTGTTGTTGTTAATGTTGATGTTGTTGTTGAGAATGTTTCTCGGTTCTCCCGCGATTCCGACACCGCCCCCTCCGCCGCCGTGCATGCTGGGAAGGTGATCCGAGGCTCCGCCCATGCCTGCAATGTGGTCACGTGGACAGAGACAGAGAACAGTGGTCCACCCCCCACCCCACCACGCACGCAAACCCCCCCCCCCCCAACAATGAGGCCTGTGCCAGGCTAGGTGCACTTCGAGGCAGGTGCCATGGGTTGTACTGCTGTGCCAGGCTAGGTGCACTTCGAGGCAGGTGCCATGGGTTGTACTGCTGTGCCAGGCTAGGTGCATGAGGAGGAGGTCACGGGACAGACCCAGCAGGTGCCATGGGTTGACTGCTGTGCCAGGCTAGGTGCAGGAGGAGGAGGTCACGGGGCAGACCCAGCAGGTGCCACGGGTCGACTGACTGAGATGACTGGCTGATGCACCACCTGTGCCCCCTACTGTGCCAACCCGCTGTGCTTTAGCCACCCGGCGCTCCGCTCGTTGTTCTGAGCGTCGCTCCTCCGCCCTCCGTTGTTGTTGGAGGGCGACTGTCTCCAACTGCCCAGTAGCGTCCTTCACGAGCCTCCTCCACAGAGTCCGATCTTGACACCGCTGGTACCAGTCATCGGCAAGTCCACTCAGCTCCACGTCCTCCTGTACCACATCACTCCATCTCTTCTCTAGCCCGTGCCGCGCCCGTTTAGCCCCCTCGATCCGGCCGAACAAAAGCTGTTTCGGCATGCGGTGGCTGGGCATGCGGGCTACATGACCCAGCCATCGCAGCCTTGCCTGCCGGAGGAGCTCACCGATGGGACCCTGCCCAGATCTTTAAAGGATTTGTGAGCTCCTCACACAATCCAGTCTGGTTAAACCCAGGATGGATCGTAGGCAGGCCAGCCTAAATGTTTCTAACCAGCGCAGATGTTCTATTAGGGGGGGTCCACGTTTCGCAAGCATAGAGAAGGGAGGGAATGACTGTGGCTGAGAAGATTCTAACCTTCGTGTGGAGCGACAGACCAGGTAGCTTCCACACAGCGTTACGCAACCGATGAAAAGATATTGCCGCTCGACTGATTCGGAGTGAGACTTCTGCTGTTAAACTGGAGCCAGTCATAAGCACACTGCCCAGGTATGGGAAACTCTCCACTCTCTCCACAACTGCCCCATCACCGATTGGGAGTTGTGGGGGTGGACTGTCCGATGGTACAAAATACCCAGGCAGGTGCTTAGTTTTGGTGGGGCTGATGGTAAGGCCCCACCTCTTAGTGGCATGCTCCAGTCTCAGCAGCAGCGTCTCCAACTCCTCCTCTGAGTGAGCAGCTATTACCAAATCATCGAGATACATAACGTGGTTGAGCAATAGGGAGCCATCCCTTGACCGCACCCGGGCATCGATCAGCCTCCCGTCGTATCTGTACCAGATGGAAATTCCTCCGGTACAGGAGGAATCTGATGGGCTATGAAGCTCTTTCTAGACTTGAAGCTTTCATGACTGCAAGGATTCGTACTCTTTGGTTCTATCCTTTTATCTGGCAACAAAACTGACACCTTTTTAACAAGGAGTCATGTTTACATTGACCACAATACCTGCGGTCAGAATGCAAACAAAAAATAACACAAACTCTGATAATGTATGTGGCACTGTCCTTGAATTTGATTGGTCCACACCCGAGACAGCTTTCTTTAGAGGCCCTTAGTCTCACGTTGGTGTTGGACCAGAAGACGCCAAAAGGCGTCACACAACTCAAAGACAATGCACCATCAGAGTATGAGAGCTCGGGGTCAAGCATTTACACAACATTGGAAAAACCTCGTTTGCCAGTAACAGATAAAAGGGTAAAAAACCAATTATCATATTTTGTTACTGGCAAATGAGGTTTCCAAAGGCACTTGGTTGAGCTACCCCTACAGCCCTGCTAGAGGCTACCTGGGGGAGCTTTGTCTGTGTGTGTGGTGTGTAGTACATAGACACTGCTGCTGAAACACGCTACTAACGGCACTTGCCCCTACAGCCCTGCTGGAGGCTACCTGGGGGAGCTGTGTCTGTGTGTGGTGTGTGTAGTACATAGACACTGCTGCTGCTACTCGCTACTAGCAGCACTTGCCTCTACAGCCCTGCTAGAGGCTACCTGGGGGAGCTTTGTCTGTGTGTGTGGTGTGTGTAGTACATAGACACTGCTGCTGAAACACGCTACTAACGGCACTTGCCCCTACAGCCCTGCTGGAGGCTACCTGGGGGAGCTTTGTCTGTGTGTGGTGTGTGTAGTACATAGACACTGCTGCTGCTACTCGCTACTAGCAGCACTTGCCCCTACAGCCCTGCTAGAGGCTACCTGGGGTAGCTTTGTCTGTGTGTGGTGTGTGTAGTACATAGACACTGCTGCTGAAACACGCTACTAACAGTTTTGTCATTCACAGTTTTATCATCATCGTTACAGCGGCCGTTATCCAGCAGCGGATTGATCCTGGCTGATGATGACGATTCGGCCCAAAGCCCTGACAAAGCCCCCCCCGTGTAGCCTGCAACAAACTGTAGGGGCAAGTGCTGTTAGCGAGCGTCTATGAAGGCTACCGGCACTGTGGCTACACACACACGAGGGGGTGGGTGGCCAGCGCCACGCCCGGCCGCCTTTGTCTCTCCTAGTGCTAGCGATGTTGACTACACTGCTACACCGCTACACCAGGTACTCATTTGAGGCCGAGTCGACCTAGGGGAGGCCCAGGACCGGTCCAGGTAATCGTTACCGGTGGCGTTGGCCGTGAACGGGAGTCGAACCCGGGTCGCCGTGTTCGTAGTGCAGCGTAGCGCTAACACACACACAGACACACAGACACACACACAGACACAAACACACACAGACACACACACATACACAAACACACACAGACACACACACAGACACACACACATACACAGAGACACACACACACACAGACACACACACACAGACACACAGACACACACACAGACACATACACAGAGACACACACACAGACACACACACAAACACACGCAGACACACAGACACACACACACAGACACACACACACAGACACACACACACACAGCCACACACACACAGACACACAGACACACACACACAGACACACATACACAGACACACACAGACACACACACAGACACACACACAGAGACAACA